CAATAAGTCTTCCTACCAATATGACCATGTTGCGAAAACAAGGTCAAACAACCTCTTTAGTTTGCTGAGTTCAATCCATCTTCCAAAGTGAGTTGTGGCCTTTTGCCGGAGTAGTGTTTGTGAGGCTTATTATCACTGTGCTCGCCTCATCTTCGTTTATAATTAATAATATATATATATATATATAAGGGAGAATTCAACTGTTAGTGCCCTTACTACCTTAAACGAAACAAGGTGAATACAGCTCATATTGTGCTCTACTGTTTCTGGGACGGGCTGAACGGAGAGGATTGTTGCTTCGCTCCAACCATGACAAGAATTCTCAGTGCTCTGGAACTGCTGCCGTTGCACTTGGTTGGATCGTCGTTTTCGGCGAAGCTGTTGCTATCGCACTCGTATCTGGTAGCAAAGACAGACGCCGTGGTGACGAGATGCCATACGCCACTGAACCCCACAGAGACACTCAGTTATCGGCGAAAAGATGAACGGTTCTACAGAATGAGCATGTTGAGTGCTTCGTCAAAAGCCGGTTGAAAGGCAAAATTTCGTCTGAACCAAGCCTTGCATGAATTCGATGAAATGAAAGAGTTTTGCACTAGAAGTCGTGTTGAAACTTATTCCCTCATGCAAATACCAACTATTGACTGTCCAAATCAAACTAAGACATCTTCTGCAGTGGTAATAAAAAGTGTGTTGCACATGAAAAGTGAAGCCAAAAACATTATTCGTAATAAGTAAGTCTTCGAGATGATGGGATGTTATTAAAGAAAAAATTACCCAAAATTTGACAAGGAAGAAGGCGCCCGGCGAGGAGTCAGCACGCTCGTAGAAGCCTTTCAGGCCTTCCTCCTCTGGAAATTTGTCCCAGATCTGACTGACGTCCACCTGCTCAAGGACCTGGTCGCACAGAGACGTGGCAGCCGACGAGATGTGGACGAATACGTGGCGTTGGCTTCCGCACTGGTTCACGATCTGCTGGGCAAGTCAGAAAATGCAATTCAGGCCTGTCGGGTTGGCGGTTGGTAAAGGCAATTGTGCCAAAAATGGCTTTCTGTAAAAATTATTCTGTACTACAACGCGTTCGGGGGGCCTGGGGCTGTCTGAAAGATGGGACCGATTGGCCCCGGGGAGGCGATTCCAGAATGCCTCCCTCATTTGGAGGGCATCACAACCCCGTTTAAGCGAATGCCGACGAACCCATCTGACAAATACCAAAGCCCCTCTTGCGGCTGTGTGCTGGCCGGTTTTCCCTTCTGACGCGTTCCACGTTTAGTCGACTACGTCGTTCTTCCTACGCATGCCAACCATTGTCAAGTTTAAGCGTGCCTGTTCTAAAAATGATCCAGAACAACTTCACGAATAGCCCATCCATTGGACCAGTTTTTACTGCGCTCCACCTAATCCTGAAAGTGGCACCGGTCAAAATCCTATCAACACAAACCAAATTCGAAATGTTTGATGGAACGAAGGCTTCACTTTAGCAACTAATGCGTTCCTCCAGGACTCTACCGTTGCGGTCAATAGTCTCCTGTACTGCTTTGCGTGGGTGCTTACTTACTCGCATCTTTCAACTTGATCCTCTGAGCTCATTACCACGTGATTCAAGATAAGCGATAGCTCTGAAACAGCTAATTAGCATGTGGCGGCGCAGGTGCACACGCCTCTGAGACACCGCCGATCACATCAAAAGCAACAAGTTTGTCCCATGGATTATGCAAATAAATTAATTACTTTCAATTTTATAAGCCCACGATCATCTCGTCACAAAATAATGTGGTCAAGTGCACACTGTTCAGCTCTTCTCCCACTAACGTTGCCTAGGGAGGAAGATGCTAGTTGTCGTCATTGGGGGGGAAGGGGGAGGGAAGAGAAAGTACAACCGGAGCAGGACTGGAAAATGAAGTTTGGTACTAGCATACCTTTCGTTTCGTTTGAAAAGGCGGGTGGATACCGAACGAGTATTGGCGTAGACTTCTTTTCATATCTCTGAAGTTTGGTATTTTCCGAAATTATCGCTAAGGTTAGATTCGATCGATGCCCAATGTAGGCTGTTCACCGTCTGATTGTCGAGAATACATCAGTCTACAGACGACTTTCGTCGTAGTTCAAACTCCAAAATCGTCTTCCCCTAGGCTAGCCTCCTGTAGACCACGAAATAGCATCTCGACTGAAGAGAAACAACCCCTTTACAATAAACTTACGAGCGGTATTTAATACTACTCACGAATCATAAGTAATAATGAAAAATGAAATGGCAACTATCAGCTTGCCTTGCCTGCACTTGCCCGGCTGGAAACGTGAGGCAAGAGGGGCCTACGAGAGCTTCACTCCCGTCTTATGGCATGCATGTGATACGGCATTATAGTCTAATAGTCTATAAACGCATTGTCATATTAACTTCTGGGCCTAGTCTCGGATCCTAGTGTCGGTGTCATCCAGCCCGAGGCGTCGAAGCGTCAGACGATCATCCCGACAGGAAGAGCCTTATTCTTTTCATTTCTTCCTGACCGACACGAACATCCGACATTTGCATACACTTGGAGTAGGCGGTTTTTATTGACTCCTCTGATATCACACTCCTGGAAGACTTACATCCAGCAAGAGTGTGTGTGAGGAGGACATTCGGGGCCAAGCTCGCTAGTCGATTCCCTCAGGTGTGATGCCAAAGTTGACCGGGACGCAGTCCTCGAGAGGTCCTTCTTTGAGTCCGGTGAAGAAGGGCAACCAGACAAACATCATCACAACAAGAACACACTCTTATAATGTATATACATGCATATGCGTAAACATATATAAATATATAAATATATATATATAAATAAATAAATAAATATATATATATATATATTTATTTATATTTATATATGCCCCGGTAATGTTGGTCCTCGGAATGTCAGAATGCCGAAGAGCAGATAAAGGACAATTTTAGCCATCCACTTTGGTGCTCAGAGGGTCCAGAGTTCAGTTTCGAATGCCAAATTATGTAGTGGACCAAAACCAACGATGCATTAGACAACTGTGGTGCGGAGGCTGTGTTAACGCCCATTTGGCTGGGCAAATCAGCAATCTGATCAGAAGAGCGGGATAAACAACAGTGTCTCTGTGTGCGTGTATGTGTGTTCCAGCAAATGTGTGGAGGTGCATGTGTGTGTGTGTGTGTGTGTGTGTGTTTGTTAGTTTTTTTGTCTGTTGGATTCGTTATCCGGGAGATGGGGAGCAGCCGAGTGGAGGATGCTTGTCGCGTGTCCGGCAGACGGCCCAAATTCGTGGGCGACAACGAGCCGAAACGGAATGTGGTCCTGGGCGTACGTGACAAGAGGGCGCGAACAGGCGAAGAGGGGCAAAGCAACCTTTGCACATGCGCCCGCCTGCCAGTCCTGCCGAGGGGGGAAAGGGCATCCGGTTGATAGTGGCATCGCCGCCTTCATAGCCCTCCAGACTGACTTCTTGAATAAAACTTTGTTAATCCGGGTCGCTTAAACTGACGTAAGTAGTGATAGCTGAATTTTATCACACTCCATGCCTTCGAAAGGGCTATTTCATCCAGGCTGCACTGGACTGGACTGCAGCCTAGTCAGCACAATCAAATGAAGTTCGATACCGAAAACTACTTATAATAGAAATAAGTAGCGTCCTCGATTAAAATAGCATGCACATATTCGCTTAATCGACGCGAACCCTATAAAATGTGTATTTGGTGAGACGTGAAATATCCTGTGACCCTCCGGCACCCGTGGCTGAGTATTGACGTGATAACGTTGCCACGACAATTACGAAACGATATTAATTCCCAATGAGGCTGCCGAATTATGGAAACTAATGATGCGAGCAGGCCGGTATGCAGAGGAGTAAATGCATATCTTCCAGAAATAATGAAAGGCATAACACAACAGATGCTCATTCATAATTTTTTCCAGGTTCGGACAGTGTAATTAGTACCTACCCAGGCATTGCACTGGCATCACACTACACAGTCTCAGTGAGCATTGCCGTTCTGAGACAATTCTTGTTTGCTAGTCTTGTCGACTAGGACGT